ATAAATGTTCTAAAATATTATCCTTTACTAATCTTTCAATTCTTTCCTTGCAGATATGCCCCAATCGTCTATGCCACAATAGAGAAAATCTTTCATTATTGAAACTATGTTTCAATCCAACACTTGATTGCAGGGTCATTAATGTCTTTGCAAACTCAAGATTCAAATTAATTATGTACAAACCATCACACAGAATTCCAGAACCAACTTTTATTGAATCATAAACCATGCTGAGTTTGCCACTACCAAAAGAAAGATAATATCCTAAGTCATTAATTCTAGAAAGAGAAACCAAATTTCTAGAAATTGTAGGGACATAACATGTGTCAACAAGATTCATCAAGTGACCCATCTCTAAGCGTAGACGATAAGTTCTCATTGATATCACTTTCGCTTTAAGACGATTTCCTATAATGATGAATTTTTCATATTGTTTTAGTTTTCGAATTGAAAGAAATCACTACATGTTATTTGTAACATGAGTTGAAGCACCAGAATCAATCCACCAAGTGTTAGAAGGAACTTATGTAATATTTGATTCAAAACATACAAAGGTCGAGATAATACCTTTCTTTTCCAACCAAGTCTTGCGTTTAATGCAGTCTTTCTTCACGTGTCCTTTCTTGCCACAAAAGAAGCACTTTACAGTAAAGGCTTTCTTTTCATTAGTCTGTTTAACATTTTTAGACTCGACAAGTTTCTTTGATTGATAATGCTTCAATTTTTTTTTCTTATTACTAGCTCCTTGAGTAGTAGCCATGACATTATATGAACTTTCTTGTCTTAATCTTAATTTTTCCTGAACACATATGCTAGTCAACTCATTCAAGTCCCACTTATCCTTATTTGTATTATAGTAAATCTTGAATGGGCCAAACTGAGAAGAAAAAGAATTGAGAATAAACTGCACGAGGAAAGACTCATTAACATTCATGCCTAATGTACCATCATACTGAGCCATAGTCAGTTTTTTCATTAATGTGTCAGCCAATGACTTATCATGAGATTTAAATCTATCTTCAATAACCTTTAAATATTCCTTTGCGCTAGTTGCAATCGGTAATAAAGTCTTTATGTTATTTACAATTGTCATTCTTATGAACATTAAACTAAGCCTATCAAATCTTTCCCAAGCATTCATTTCATTAACTTGTTCTACTGTACTTTCATCAGTTAAGTTTGTAGGCTTTTTAACAAGTAATGCTAAATCAAGATCTAATACACTCAGTGTGAATTGCACATGCTCTAACCATTCCGAATAATTTAATCCAAAGAGTACAGGGACATTAGAAGCATAAGAATGTATATGCGAAAGTACCACTGCAAAAATATAGAATAGCATTAATGCTTTGAGTTTGTTAAAAAAAAAATGATGAACTATTGATATCATTTATATTACACCTTTGGGTGAAATATTGATATATCTAGTGTTCACTCAAGAATATTTATGGAGGACTGATACCATCCTTGTAGAATAGTGTTACCATCCTTGTGGAATAGTGTTGTTACCTTTGGGTATACAACCCTAAACTGCAAGGATATCCAAAACAGTATCATCATACCCATCACATAATTATTTGAATTAGATTCTCTTTTGGGATTATCTAAATCTCCTAATTATGTGTCATTATGAATATTATTTCCTTAATGTCATTTAGGACTAATTCCTTAATATTATTTTATAAGTCATTAGTTTAGGTCACTTTGGTGACTACAAGACTAATACAATAATATAAAATAAAATTTAAAATGTCCTATAAATGATAAAACTTTTATTGTAATTCATATCACAAAAGTCTATTATCTCAGACCACTTTGGTAGCTACTAGTCAAATAAAACTTAAAGAGATGAATTACAAATAATATTCATCAAATTTCTTTAATTTTTGCTAAGTAGTTCAATAATAAAATAACCATAATAATTATTAAACATTAATACTAAACTGTTCAATAATAAATAATAATAATAATTATTATTGAACATTAATACTAAATAGTTCAATAATAAATAATAACCATAATAATTATTAAAGCTTAATCAACAAGAAAACTCATACGATAATCTTGATAACATATAATAATGCCTTTGTAAAAGGTAAACATTATTTCATAATTTCAAATATATACATGTGAATAAGTAAATATAATTTCAAGAACAATAATTGGATTTTGATTTTATTTACCACATGTATAATCAATAATTCATATGAGAAAACTATAAAGTAAACCATAATTTATAATTTTTTAATCAAAATTAAATCCAATCAAATAATTAAAAATATAATCATGATTAAATTTAATCATAATTATAATAAATCATATTTATCAATTTTATAATTAAGAATATAAACTAAATTTCTCAATTTCGATATAATTATAAATATCTAAAAGGATATAAATCGAAAATATACTATTTATGAATGGTAGAACTATAATTTGGCATAAATTAGACCTGAGGGTAAAACCATAAATATGTTGACAGAACATAAATTGGAATTACGAAATTTGAAAAGGGCCAAATTATAATTTTTGCAAAACCTAGCCACGAGAGTAAAACCGTAAATATGCCAACAACCCTAATCTGCCTGCGCCACCGTCGCCTGTACGCGGTTGCCGCTTGTGCGTACGGCGCTGCCACTACTGCCAGCGACGCGGTTGCTTGTGCACGGCTGCCTGTGCGCGGTCGCCTACAGCCGTTTTAGCCTGCGCATGGCTGCTGCCACCACAGCGCTACCGTCGCGGGGCTGCCACTGCTCGTGCGCGGTTGTCGCATGGGATCGGCCTACCCGCGCGCACGACCGCCGCCAGGGCTCTCTGCCTGCGTGTGGTCGCCGCATGGACGGGTTCCACCTGCATGCGGCTAGCCGTCGCATGGGCACTGTGATGCCCGCGTGTGATGCCCGCGTACGGTGGCTGCATGCGCTATGGTGCACATGCTGCCCAGCGTAGCCTTTGCCATAGATTCGCAGCGAAGTCGACGGTGATCATTGCTTAACAATTCTTGGAGAAGAAAGGTAATTTATGCATCGTAAACAAATTAACAGATCTAATACATTTGATCTCAAAAACCTAGGCTCCGATACCAATCGTAAGCATAATAATCTATAATTATGCTGTATCAAATGCGGAAATAACCTTTTATGCTAGGATTGGAATCAAATGCATAGATCTAATTATAACGATGTGTACCTTTTGATGCCACCGTCTTTATCCAAGATCGCTGTAGAATCTGCAAGAAGTAGATCCTTTCTCCTCTCTTCCTATCCCAGCCCCTAGAGGTCCTGTCTTTTTATAGGCGGGAGCAGAGGGGCTACGATAAGATCTTAGGAGATTTCCTCTCAAGGTTATCTCCTAAGGAATCGTTTCGTAATGGACTTCTATTGTATTGGCAAAAATATTTCGAACGAAACCCAACCTTCTAACAAAATGTATTGAAAATGAGGATATCCAACCTTCTCCAACCAACCTTCTCCAAATCCCTTACATACCGTCTAAGACATGAACAAATAAAAAAAATATAGATATTATAATGAACATCTTTGCTACGTATATATAGGATGTGATAGTGCGATAGTCGTTCGTGACCGAGGGGGACACTACAATTGTCGAGCTCTCTGTATACACACTTTGTGGCCATAACTTAGGTCATGCTTAGTCACGGCTTCACCTCATCAAAGAATAAGCAGTTGTAATATGATGTGCACCTGATCGACAATATCGAGTAGCCTCCTTACGAAAGCATGATGTAGTTGTCGATGTAGATTGGAGATGCCGACCTACCTTGTCGCCCCATCGAAGCATAGTCAACTGGCGCAACTCCGAATGCTGCCACTCTGACATGCCAAGCTATTACTACTCGCCAAGGCACGACCATAATAGTTGAAATTCTGTGTTGTTCGGTCACGTAGCTGCAAGCTTGCGGAATGCTATTTGGCACTGCCTTTTGTCTTGCCGATGGCTAGTAGGTGGTGCGGATCAGGCACATTACGACACACTGATGCAGTGTCGGGCATCCAACACAAATTTATGCGGTGTTTGAGATCCCATTACGAACTTTGAGCCGCCAATGACACCTCCCCAGACTCAGTCGAGATGCAAACCAACGAGGCATGCGTCTGTCTTCGTAACATGTGTTCAAGCTGGATGCTTTTGAGTTGCTTATTGATGTTGATGCATGTTGTCGATACATGGCATGTCTCAGTTGCATTCTATCACTAGGCGACGATGAGGTATCTATCACCTAATCTCGTTTTGACTCGATCGAACATGCGGAGAAAAGGCACCACATTGTCGTTGCAAGCCAAGGTACTTATTTGTAATGTCAAGATGTCGACTCGACAACATCAAACTATCCTTCTATAGAGGACTTTGGTAAAACTATTTAATTAGTGCAGCATACCTAATCGATGTTACGATGGTAATGGAACAATCCTGTGCCAAGCCCACCCCAAGATATGGCATCGTGCAAGCCATTTTAAAGTTCAGTAGCAAAAATTGTATTAGAGAAACGCTTACATGGCATCCAGCATCAAAATTATGCAGAAACAACAATGACATGGCTCAAATAATAGGGGACATACATACAGATGGTGCCAAATTGATGGATTTGTGCCACCACCATCAAGCACCGATGGTAAGACCGTGGCAGTTGGGCTAAGCATAGTCTCACTTCCATCACTACTGTGAATAAATTTCCCGAGTGCTCTTATGATCAAAGCCCCAAGTTTACTGCAACTCGATAAACCCCAGCAAAAGAGGCGCACGTGTTCATGCAATAAACACAGCAAAGCAGTCATGTCCAGTGGATACTTTTTCTTCCTGTCCAACAAAAAGAAGTTGAAGCAAAACAAGCCATCCGAGTCATAAAGAAGTGCAACACTAAGCTATCAACTGAAGAAAACCAAGGCACACCTGGAAGAATAAAGATTTAAATATACAGTTCTTGCAAAACTAAACTTAATATAACAAAGCATCAGTAGGACAAGGAAGAATTTACAAACCTACACGTTTGACTTTCAGGGTGCGTACAAGTCAGTGGATTCCATCGGAGATGACCAATAATGGAGTAATGATTCTACAGTCATTCTTCGAGTGGCACTAAGCATTGAGATGAAAAATCGACACCCATCTATTTTATACTCTTCCAGCGGATTTCTGTGCCCGAAGCTCCGGACATTCACCTGCCATACAGTTCTTAAATGTGTCATTTGATGATGTCTTCAAGCAAGTGGAATAGGTGAGATAAAACTTGATTCATGAAGCATAAAGTTACCGCTGAACTGAGCCTGTTCATATTTATCAAATGGTCCCTCCAAAAAGAATCTAGTGTCTTCACAATAACTTCTCTCTGCAATTTGATCATAACAAAATATCAACAAAATGTGCATTTTCCAAGAACAAACATGTAACTCGACCAACAATTGATACGGGTACCCTAATCTGGCTTATGCAAATCATGTAGGTGTATGTACCAAACAGACTCATCCCTACACCTGGCTAGCAGCCTCACTGTGGCAAAACACTGCTGGCCAGTAGCCGAGGACAGGCCATTGTTACCTAGCCGGCACCATCCTGTGAATTGCAAGCCCCCACTGTATCCTTGTTGAAGATGAGTTGAAGTTTTGTATTTTCATATTATATCAGATATCATAAATTAAAATTTAATTAGCCATGCCTAGATTGGCTTAACCATTATTAACTTGGGTTAAATGGATGATTGTGATGTGAGATATATATCTTAAGGAATCTAAAATTTGAAGGGTCAATATAAGCAATTTCAAGATTAAGGGGGACAACTACACAACTAATGTTAGATATTAGAATAAGAAATTTTTGGTCCAGTAGGTTAACAGAAGAAATTTGTCAATGCGGTAGTGACCTTGGAGGAAGCACATTTTGATGTCTCATTATTTATTTCTACAAAATCTAAGGAACCTTCTGTAACTGCAAAAACACAATATTTCTAAGTTGTGAATCATTTTCAAAACAAGAGAACCTCAAAAATGCTTGTGGCCCTGTCTTATGCAGGCATGACAGCACCCAAGCAAATTTTCATAGAACCTAGAATCCTCAATAGCAACACCAGTATGAAACATACACACATTCTAAGAAACTACATAGTTCAATATTGTGGTTTTCTTAAGCTAAAAATGAATTCTACACAAAACTCATCATCAAGCCCAGTGCAACCAAGACAATTAGCTGTGTGCAAAGACTCGAGATCCAAAACCTAAATTGAACTTTGGTAGAAACTTGGCTAATTGCCTCCATATTAGGAATATTAGGAATATCTAGAAGGAAGAAAGTGACACAAAAAATAATTTGAAATTAATGTAACAGTGGTTTATAAGATGTAAATGACAAATTGTAACAAAAACATTTATATTTATATTTTTTAAAATTTAAAATCAGAATGACAGTTTTGCTTTATTTGAAATCATCATTATTTTATGCTGGTTAAACACGACAGTGTTTCACGGACTACAAAAAGTTAAACACTATAGTGCTCATACATAAAGTACCTGAATATGCTGCTAGAACGGGAAAAAAAGAACCATCCGTCAGATAACATTTGCCAAGACCTACCACAAAACGACTCAATCATTTTTCTACTTGATTTTCACAAATCTTTCAGGGTGTAAGCATCACACAAACTCACTAATAGGCCTTAGAAGTCTGATCTCAACATTATGCCAAAACGATATTATGAACTCCACATCTACAGATACATAACAGTATCACGCTATTCTGGAATTGACATTGAGGACTCTTTCAGTCTTTTTTTTTGTGAACTAGTTTTCTTCATATTATACATCATTGATCCTATGACATAAAAGAACTAAAAAGGAAACTGCAACATGAGAGATTTTTCTTAACAAGTCTTGAATAATTTAAAAAAAGCACCTTGGAGTGTGCTAAGCCAGAGATAATATTTTCACAGCTAAAGAATGGAAAATGCTAATTCATGAAAACTGGAAAAATATCATGAATCTAGTACACAAGGCCCAATATGGGGATCTGGGGAAGGTTGATGTCCAAAGTAAAAATATAAAAAACCATGTTACCTCAATTTCTTGAATGTATGAATCATCATAACCAGAGTCTTGTACAACTTCTAAATAAGAAGCAATTAAAAAGTCTCCAAGATACTTGCGAAGAAGGTTAGTGGTCCCTTGATATCTTCCTTTCCTACATTGTATGAACCACAAACTTTCAAATATGTGTATGTGTAGATATTTGCTGACAAAATTAAGTGAAGTGCATCTTAATGCTGATATTATCTGAAGGAAATTACTTTATTGTCTCATCAGTACAGATACCAAGCCAACGTCTTAAAGACAATATTTTCTTGCGGATTCCTCTGAATGTGGTTGGAGGTATAGGCAAGTTTGGAAGAGAGAAATTTTCCACCTCCATTATACGTAACCCATGAATTTGCTCAAGGGACATCAGTAGTTCCTCTTCCCTGACCTCTGCAAATGATTCTGCAAATTACAAATATTTCTTTTGTCAAAAACTTCCATGCGACATTAGTTTTGAAGTAAAACCCAGATACTTAGTTGCAATACCGGCCAATATGTTTCCGCCAATCTGAATATATTCATCCATGAGTTTCCGCAAACTCCAATTACTAGGATGCTTTACAAGAGGAAGAAGGCATTTAGAACTGATATATCAAAATTCTAGAGATAACTAAGATTCATTTAGTGATTAGGTCGCAATACCTTTTCTGGATCAGCATTTTCAAGGACAATTTCATCAACTACTGCTTGCATGTATCTACAAGGAATTTAAGCATTTAAAACCCCTTGATGGACTAATTGACAATCAAGAGAAAAACTCAAGTCCAAAAGTAGATTTTAAAATAAGAGTTGGGATATGTTTGATCTGAGGCAAAAAAAAATGAAAATTCTCAGCCAATGGAATCTTCAAAATTTTTAAAAAGAAAAAACTATGTGAATAGAAGTGTTGACAATCTGAAAGCCAAAAAAGGCCTCTGACTAACAAGCACAATACAGGATTAAAATTTATTATATGTTCTCTAGGACTATATATATTTCTAATCACAGCTTCCTTGATCATTTTTTTTATTTTCCATGTTCTCTTTTCATTTTTTGCCTGTGCTCAAAAGATTTTTTTTATCGAAAAACAGTAGAATCTTCAATTCAGATGACCATAAAGCTCTGGCACTTTATGTAGATCAGAAATCTACCTTCTGGAATCATGAATCCCCCCATCCAAAGCTTCCATAAGAGTCTTTTATAATTTATGTGACCTTCCTATATGGCATGTGATACATGTGGTATTCCTATTCCTTGTTACCTCATACAGTATGAGAAACTGTTTTCCCTTCTGTTTTTTCTATTCTTCTGTGTTCTTATTTTCTGATTTATTTGGCATACTTGTAAAACAAAGAACAACGTGAAGCACAAAGAACCTAAATTTATGCAACCTTACCCAGGCAAGCAAGGATGATGTTTCTGAGACCACACCTTATAATCACCTAATTGCAAAGGAACAACCTTACAGTGTTACCAACCCACCCTCTATTTGACACTATGTGAACTTTTCATTTTTTTGCTTTATTTCCACAGTCGGGTTCTTTTATACAATTTATCACAAATTATTAATGAAAAATATATATGGATGTCTACTGACATCTTTTCTTCTGAAAAATAAGAAAACAAAAAACAAACATATTTCTATGCAACTTTGTATAACAGAAAGTAGAGAAAACATGAGGGACAACGTAGCTTGATCTTAAATAGAAAGTAAATGAAACAGGAAGGAAGCAACACAAAGTTTCCAACAGCCCTTATTGAAGAAGAGCTTTGGTAAATGGCAACTGCTTGGACACTGAAAGTTTGGCTGTACCTAGTGGATGTAAAAGCAAAGCACCAGAGACATGCAAAACAAACAGATCATACTCATAACTAGATCATACTCATAACTGTTGGGAGCATCCATACAAAAGGCAGGGTGCAATCATTTGGACACTGTTGGGATCGAGATGCATCTAATAACAAAAAATGAAAATGAAAACATACAGAAAGTTGATTTCTAGATTTGCCAAAGAAACAGGAATGTCAATCAATGTCATTTTCATGATCAATTTAGTGACTTCAAAATTTTCATGTCAACGTAAAGTTGGTAAAGAGACTGTTAAGAGGGTGCCAGTGAGGTTTGTATATAATTTCGTGGTTGATGTTACAGTCACAGAAAGATCATGCACAAACAGTCTCTTTGAATTGAAATCAGCAATATGAGAAATCCTAAAAATCCAACAACGATGATGATGCACAAGTTATGAAACAAATGACAAAATCTGCTTATTATTATATCTTTAGAAAATATTCAAATATTATATCTCAAGCTTTGAAAAAAGATTTCTGAACATTCTCCTTACTAATACAGAATAACAAATATGCACTAAACTAATATAGCACTTCGGTAGTCTCATCATAACATTGTATAACCATGGTACTAAAGGTAATAAACAAACTGAATAAGACATCGAGTTTTACTGTAACATTTCTGCACCCTACGATATAATGTGCTATACTGGCATCCACAGAAAACTAAACAGGCGAGTGAATACATTGAACACAGATAAGCGTTAGTCGAAACACAAGCAAATGTCTCAAAAAGGTGTGCCAGTAGCGTCAATACCATATACACACACACACACACATATATATATACAAGAGAATAAATTAAACTCACTGGAATACTTGTTCACAGCAGCTTTCAGAGCCACCTGCTAATATCAGTTGTCTAAGGCTATAGACATGCTTCCTCTGGACCTATTAAGTCAAAAAACATATGGTTAAAATCAAGGTCTTCAATTTCGAATAATACCGCCCGTATCAGGCGGTACGTACCAGTCCGTCAACAAACCGGTACATGGACCGTCTGCTACCGGACGGTATTTTTTTATTTATATATATAAATAAATATATATATATATATATATATATATGCG